CAAGAAAAAAAAAGAAAAGAGGAGAAGCAGGATGCTCCAGGTGGCGTGGCTGGACGCGGAGTGCGACCATGGTAGTGTGCCTTTCTTTCGCGTAGTGCTGGTCTATGTGTGGTAGACACCAGTGATACTGCTCTGTGAAGAGGCACACACACACACACACACACACACACACACACACACACACACACACACACACACACACACACACAGCCCCAAACTACCCCTCCCCCCAAACATACACACACACACACACACACCTGGCAGCGAAAATGCGACGTGCGACTGCTGGTCCGTGGAGTGTGCGACGGCAGTGCCATTGACGTACGCGTGGACGGCTCGTGGCCGCATTGCTGCTCGGTGCTCCATGTCGCCCAGAATGCGCCACGTCATGGATGAATTGCCGCCGGCTCGCGCTTCAACTTGCGGAATCGGGCCCGGAATCCACGCAGAGGCCGGCAGCGAGAGCCATTCCAAAGTGTTGGCGTGCACGACGCCCACCGTGTGCACACAGCCTGCTTGCAGTCGTTCCACAAGCACATGCAGCCCTGACGATTGCTTGGAGGCCGGTGGCAGCGGCACCTGCACGATGCATGCACGTGCCTGGCGGCGGCACACATCATCGGTTTGGCACCACCACGGCGCCGCCTCTGCCACAACCCCCAACGTCACAGATGGTGGCGGGTGCTTTGACGAATCAAGACGCGTCAGCGACACAACGATGAGGCCGGTGCCGTTGTCGTCAGAGCCGCTCTCAACTGTCGGAACGTCACCATCGCCAACGTGCAACCACGCCTGGCATTCAAGCTTCGTGTCTCCTGGAAACGCAGGGTGCACGTGCAGACGCGCCGTGTTGTGACCAGTCGTGTCACATCCTGTGTTCGCATGCGCAGTGGCACGCACGTGCCAGCTGAGTGCTGGTGAAGAAGGGGCGTGAGTACCACGGGTCTTGCCGCTGTCGCTGATGTGGTTTGGGACCGACACAGGCTTGGACTGGCATGAGAAGGTGTGGCCTTGCTTGTCTATGTAATCGGCCACAATGCTCAACGACGTCTCGCCATCACTGTCTGCCAGTACACCCATTGGTACAGATACGCGTCCTTGATCGGGAGCGGTGGCCGCAAGCTTCTTCGAACCGTTCATCATGAGCCGATAGCCATCGCAGCGCACCGCACTGTCGCCACTCCTGGCATGGCGCCAAATCAATTCCATGCTGTTGAACCTAGTCATGGGTGCGTGCGCATGTAATTGTGTGTATGGGTGTGTGTGTTTATGCAAGTGTGAGAGAGTGTGTGTGCATGACCGAATAAAGCACACATGCGCATGCACAACCACATTTCTGCACAGTCACAAAAACGCGCACACGCACATACACAGGCAGACACACACACACACACACACACACACACACACACACACACACACACACACACACACAAACGCACGATGTGTCGACACCCGCGATGAACAAACGAGGCGGTGTGGGTGCTGAAGGGAGCTGGGTGTGAAGGGCGGAGCTGCGCATGTCGTCTGGTGTAAATCCGTGTGTCCTTGCCAGTGCATCCTTGGCTTCAAGCACCACATGTAGTTGGATCGTGGAGCACGGCGGGAGATCCTGCACCACAATCCTCTCAGCACTTGCTCGTGCAATGGCAAGCCGGCCTTTGGTCGTCGTGGACTCATTTGCTTCGGCTGCGGGCCCAGCACCAGCTCCAGCACCAGCATGCAGCAGCTGCGTCGAGGGCGTCCAATCGTCAATCTGAGACCATGGCGCAGGCGCCGTGCACTCCCACACAACGGACGCAGCAAACTCGCCTCCAGGGTGCACACTGAACCCGCTCCACTCCAGCGTGACGGAATTCTGTTGCATCGCGACATGAGACCGTCCAGATGAGGGCGCGTTGGCGATGATGATGAGAGAAGCAGGCGCGATGCGTTCATCCACATGCACAACCACGGCAAGAACTTCATGGGCTCACGCACCCACGCCCTTGCGCACACAAGACGCACGCACACCTCAGACGCACAAGCACACGCACACAAGCACACACACACACATTCAACACACACACACACACACACACACACACACACACACTCACAGACACACACACACACACACAGACACACAGACAGACAGACACACACACACACACACACACACGTGTAAACTTACGCTGGTCACGCTTGCGATGGTTGGGGCGTGGACCACGAGCTGAGGAATCTCAAATGTGACAGAATGCGAGTGATGGGCCACAACATCAGCTCCTGTTAGTGACGTTCGCTTGACGCTGGCGCGATATTGATGTGCGGGAACCCCTGCTCGCCACACGATCCTCTGCTCCTTTGTGACCGTGACAAGTGCGTGCTTGTCGGTGTCCAAATCGTGCAGGTCGACCTTGAACGTGGCGTCGTCTTCTCCTGATGGCGTGGAAAGCACACCCGTGATGTCGTCCTGGGCCATGTGATCCATCCACTCCAGCTCAACGCCGTGCGCCGTCACGGAATTGGCATTCAGCAGCAGCAGGTCTTGCGAGAGCGTCGTGAATGTACCAGAATTCACCCTGTGATCAGCAACCATGGTTTGCCCGCGCGTGTAAAGGAAGACCAGTCAGCAAACAAAGCACGCAAACAAAGCACGCACACACACACGCACGCACGCACACACACACACACGCACACACACACACACACATAGGCACAGACAAGGCCGCAGATGAAGGTGATGAATTGTAATATCACATACACACACACGCACGCACGCAAGTGTGTCGACAACGTACCAGTGGTAAACACCGCCAAACTTGAGGAACAATGCGTAGGAATAGGTACTGTTGGCAGCAAGGTTGGGAACAGAGACGCGTGTGGTATCGTCGAAGAACACGGCATGGTCAGCGTTGCCGTTGTCAACCATGCGTGCGCGAACGTAATCTTCTGGCAAACCAAGCCTACAAATTGTGTGTCAAATGAACATGTTGAGTTATAACAGGACCCCGCATCGTGGAAAGCACAAAACAACTGCCATGTGGTCGATACGTTGGCTGATGTACGCACATAGCATGGCCTGTTTGACCAGTCGTGCATGTACACCTCCACACACGCCCACACCTACACACGCCCACACCTACACACGCCCACACACACAGACACACGCACACACCTACACACCTCCACACATGTCCACACACACACACATACACACACACCCACACAAACACACACACACGTCCACACACACATGTACGCATGCACACACGCACACATACCGTGGATCCAACTCCAGGGTTTCATGCGTTGCCCAGACAAACACAACACCAGAAAACGTTCCAGTTGAAGCATCTGACCACAATTGCGCTTGCTCCGCGCGCGTGAGATCAAAATCAACGCTGTACCAGCGAGGCAGCAGTACCGCTGGCGAGGCCACGCGAACCTGGGTCGCTGTCGGCCGCCACCCAAAGGCGCTCGTCACCGCTGATGCGCCCGTGCGGCGACACTCAACCGCCACGACAAATGTGTGCACTCCCTCATCCTGGGCACTCGTCAGCGCATCCAGCGGCACAGCCATCTCGGCAGCCTTGGTCGACACGAGCGTCTCGCCTCCGCTGCCACTGCACTGCAAACTTGCGTGGACATCCATGCGCGGAAGGTCATTGATGTCAACGTCATGGTGAGCGCTCGTGATGTCGCTCGTTGCCATCCAGCGCAGCACGAGCGAGTCGTGTTGCACCCGTCCCGTCTGCCCGCTCTCGTCGTCACTGTCTGGTTCAAAGTCGCTCGCGTACTCGCCATCGTCTTCCTCGTCATCCGCCTCTGTTGGTGCCTCGAGCGCGAATGCGACAGAGTGGCGGGCCGTCTGCTGCGCGTACGCAATCTTCAGCTCTTCCACGTCGACCGTCAAATCCACCACGGGCCGATATATCTGCATTGACACAGCGTTGGGAAACGTCTCACGCGTCGCGTGCTGCGGAAGGTCGGACTCGTCAACCGCAAATGACTGCCGCTCCTGTACAACGCTGCGCTTGCCTTTCTCACTGACGGTCCCTGCTGGTGCTGATGCTGATGCTGGTGCTGGCTTGTCCGTGCCAGCAGCAGTGGCGCTGATTGCGCTCGGAGCGGTACCACCAGGAGAGAGCGCGGCTCGCCCATAACGTGCAGGTCGTCAAAGGGGAGGCTGTAGCGCAGCTGAACGTGGCGCCCGGAGGTGCTGCGAACACCATGCAGGGTGCCATCCCAGTAGAAGGCAATGTCCGTAATGGACTCTGGTACGGACACTTGCAGCTCCACCTCATGCCAGCCAACCTCTTTGACAATGACCTGGGGTGCTTCAACCCTCTGGCCAACCAAGTCCACGTCCACACTGGTCCAGGACGACAGCGGAAGCGACGACAGGAAGTGCATGTTCACTGGCACCAGTGCTGCTGACACGTGCACGCGGGCCCCGTCGCCAGCAACCTTGAGCTCAATCGTGTCGACATCGGTGATGTACGCCAGACCACGACGCGCAGCAACGGGCTCGTGCTGCAGTGGCACAACCGGCATGGTATGATGTTGCTGCAGCCAGTCCACTGTAGGCCGGAAGCGCATCAAATCGCTGCCGCTGCCTCCGCTGCCGCTGTAAGTGTTCACGGTCACCTGCGACTCTGCACCTGACTTGTTCGTCTTCTTGTTCTGGTCTTCCTCAAGCTGAAGAAGATGCAGACATGTGAGCGGTGCGTCGTGCGACAAGGCGACACGAGCACCGTGCATGTCCGTTGCAACGCGAAGGGTTGGCCCTGGAATGGCCGGTAGTTTCGCCGCTGGCGCCTGCACAGTCGAGAGCTCGCCACCTCGCGCAGACGACGAGGAGGGCGACGCCAGTGGTGCAGGGCCCGTGGTCGGTGCAGACCGGGCAATTTCGGAGAGTCGCACGTCGTGGCTTGACTGTCCATCACTACCGTCACCGCCATCATCATCATTATCATCATCATCATTATCATCATCATTGTGTTGCACGCGTAAGAGACGCACGTAGACACGACGGCCATCGCTGTCGCCGCCATCACCGCTGTTGTTGTGTGGGAGCATGACGTCACACTGCCGACTATTGCTTTCTCTGATGCTGTCTGTGTCCACGTTTGCCGTCATGACACCGTCCGTAATCTGCAGTTTCAAATCAGCCACGGGCACGACGCGGGTCGCTGATTTTGGTGCCAGCACCCCCGGCACCTCCACACGGTAGCGGGTGCCGCCAGGAACTGGGTCAGCCAGTGGCTGCGGCGGCTGCAGGTGGCAGGCGGGGATGTCCAAGATGAGCTGATCCTTGCCCACCAGCGATAGGGGCTGGCGCGCAGTGTGGGGACGACCAAGCGACGCTGCGCTCTCAATCACAATCTCGAGCGAAACGGCAGCATGAGAGCCGCGTGGCACGTTGGGCAGGGCATCGAAGTAGACGGTTGTGCTGGTGGTGTTTGGCGCAAGGTTAACGTGCGCGGTGGACACGTGGCCTGGGGCGTCGGGGAGGAAGTGCAGCACAAGCCTGGACATGGCTGCACCGGGCATGATGGGGTTGCAGGCAGCAAGCAGCTGGGTGAGTTCAGCCGCATCCCATGAGAGCACGAGCTTGGCCGCAAGAGGTCCTGACGCCACGGCCATGACGCGCGGAGCGATGCGATGCAAGAACGCCCGAGCACACGACTGCGGGGTGCGGGGCTGAAGCTTGATGGCGGCCACGCGTTTCTCCGGCAGCACATGCGAGTACGACCGCAGAGCAACAGCCACAGGTATGCTGGTGTCAGCGGCTGCAGCCTGCTGCGCCTCAACACGTTGCACTTGCTGCTCACTCAAACGCACATAGAGCGTGCTCTTGCTGCGGTCAACCCAGACAGCACGCGCACCGGTGCCCTTGTTGAGCACCGCTGCGTCGATGGCGTGTGTGCTGCTGTTGCGGCGTCTCAGCTTCACGCGCGTGTTCAGCTGAGTGTCAGCAAGCACGTCGTCGTCGTCATTGGTGTTGGCGCCGTCCGCAGCACTATTGCCGTCAACGCTGTCGCCACCAACAGCCGCTGGGCTGATTGCGTCGTGCAGGGTGGGTGCTTCACTGTCGAATGCAGAGAGCAGGTGGGCAACGGCAAGCGTGATCCGCTCTCCATCATGTGTGCTCACAACCAGACGGGACCCGAGCCAGTGCAGATCGTGCAGGGACGACCACTTGAGCGCAAGGACGTACGGGGCAACATCTCCACAGGTGCTGGTGTAAGCGTCTTGGTGGTCGCCGTCAAAGGTGTGGGAGACGATGGTGAGGTGCGCCCACCGCCGCTGCATGCTGGCATCGGAGTCGAAGCGAAAAACAGGCGTGCGCGAGAGCACGTCCACGTGGCCCTCCGCGCTGGCGAGCGCACGCACCATCAGGTCTTGTTCCTGCAGGAGAATTGGGCCAAAGCGCCGATACAGGGCGTTCCCGGCAACGTTGGTGTCGTGTGTTGGGCGGCTGCCATCCACCGTGCAGTAAATCTGCAAGGCGAGGGATGGAATGCGAGGTGAGATTCAAGCAAATGCGCGTGTGCGTGTGTGTTTCGCGTGTGTGCGTGCGTGTATTTGTGTGTATGTATGCGTGTGCATGTATGCATGTGTGTGTGTGTGCGTGGTACTAGCAAGCACAGTGACGCCGTGTGCTTGTGGCTTGATGTTGTTGACACAATGCCAAAACAAAGAAGGCCAAATTCATGAGCGTACTCAGCAGGAGACACCACATGACCTGCTAGACAACAGCACCTTGGAGCCCGGCGTGTTGCATGTGAGGTGCAGCGGCATATGGGGGCACACGCCCTGCAAAGGGTCTGGGAAAAACGTCACGGGTGCCACATCTGGTGCGTCGTCAGCAACCTCAATCACACACAGCACGTCGGAGGGTAGCGCTGTGCTCCGCGCAGTGTACCTGCGTGGGTATGAAAGCATGTACAATATGAGAGACTGTCTAAGCATGCGTAACGGTGAATGTGCGCGAAAAACACAAGTGCTCTTCGCCACGAACTGGCACACACACACACACACACACACACACACACACACACACACACACACACACACACACACACACACACGCGCGCGCGCGCGCTCTCTCTCTCTCTCTCTCGCTCTTTCTCACGCAGCCTCCCCCCCCCCAACACACACGCACACGCATGCACGCAAACACTGTGAGCGGTACTGGCAACGTACAGGCCTGGACGCATGAATGTGACGACAAAGTCGCCTGCTTCTTTCTCGTCGCTCTCAAACCACGCTGGCGGAATCTCTTCTTCGTCCTCGTCAAAGAACTGCAGTGGACGGCACGTCAAACGAGGGTGAACAATGCGTTGTCATGATTGCGCAATGTACAATTGGAACACGGACAGTGAATGCAATGACACAGCCACACACACACACACACACACATACATACATACACACACGCACACACGCACGCACATGCACAAGCGCACGCACACACGCACACACACACACACACACACACACACACACACGACGTACCTGCACAATTTTGTGGGGCTGATCGGTGTCATACCAGAAGAAGAGGACGTTACCGCCGGTTCGCACCGTCACATCGGCCGGGCAGAAGCCGGCAGCCATCGACACGCGCACGGCGACGGAGTCAATGCAGTTTGCCTCTGCCAGCACGCACACACGCCGCGTTTGCTGGTGTTGCTGCGGGTGCGTTGTGGCCTCAGCCTCTCCACCGCCACCACCATCACCACCATCAGGGTATGAGGTGACCTGAAGGCGATACGCGCCCGGTTTGCACGGCTGCAGGAGCACAGGGGCGCCAGCGGTGACGGTAGCAGTGGAAGTGGCGTTGGTGGTGCTGCTGTCCTGGCTGGGGGATGGAAACGTGACACTCAGCGGGGCAGGGGCAGAAGACGCGCTGTCGCTTTCATCAACAAACACGCAGAGCTGATCGAATGCATGCACGTCCAAGCACGGCTCATCCTCCTCCTGTTGCTGTAACCACAGGGCGGGCACAGGCCTGCAGCGACAGAGGGGCGGCGGATGTGAGCAAGTGTGTACAAAGCAGGATGGTTAACATGGAAGGACGCGTGTCAGCGCGTGTGAGAGTACGTGCATGTGCTAGCTGGGTGCCCACATGGCTGCGGCACGAGCATGGGGGCACGGGCATGGTGTATGTACCGAAGCAGCGCAGGCTCCTCAACAATGACGGTGCAGTTGACCGATTGTCTCTGTGTTACACGACGCATCGGAGATGACAACAAGCCAACAACAACAACAACAACAACAACAACAACAACAACAACAACAACAACAACAACAACAACAACAACAACAACAACAGCAACAACAACAACAACGCACACACACGCACACATGTCAGCGGGGCGCAAAACACACGATGCTTGGCCTTGTGGGGCCACACATGCAAGGTCACAGATGCAGGGGGTCACGCAACACACAGACACACAGACACACAGACACACAGACACACACACACACACACACAATACGGAGTCCAGCAGCGCGTGGTGATGTGTCACCTCGTGGCCGGTGCTGCGGAAGTAGCGTGCACCCGGGGAGGAAAACGTGACCATGAACGTGCCGGCAAGCAGGGAACACGCGCGCATGGACGAGGCGGCCTCAGTTGGGATGTTGTTGAAGTCAACCTTTGCAATACACAGGGAGGAGCAGTGGCAGCAAGAAAAAAAAAAGCGTGAGTGGCAGCGTTGCCAGTGGGCGGCTTTCGTTGCATCGAGGTAAAACGCACATGGTGAGGCATTATCTCACCTCATAGAGTCCATGTGGCGCATCAGCAGACCTGGGAGACGCGGAGGCCACGCAAGGAAGCATCACAATGAGTGTAGACTGACACGCAAGCCCCGAACACCACGAGCATGTCTCATCAGGACGAAGGACACACACACACACACACACACACACACACACACACGCACACAGACACGCATACACACATACACACACACACACGCATACACACATACACACACGCGCAGAGCACACGCACACACACACACACAGAGCACCCACCATGTCCAAATGACAATGTCGCCCCTTGAGATGGTGAGCACTTCTGGTTGAAAGCCCTGCGCCCACACGTTGACGCGGTGCAAGCGTAGACCCTGTGGCATCACGTGACAACAGAATCATGAACACCGACACGTGACGAACCCGTGGCGAAGAGACGGAGTGTGCACGAAACAACAGGAAGGGCGCACAGCACACAATGTACAGCGACACAAAGACATGCAAGCGCTCACGTACCTTCGTCACGATGACGGTGGTGGTCGCTGACGAGCCGTGTGGCGTCAGGGCGTACACGCCCGGGCGCAGGAACTGGTGGGCGAGCGCCGCGAGCTCTTCACGCTCATCCTGCTGGTCGGTCGTCGCAAGGAATAGCGGGAAGGAAGAATAGGAGATATGTGCGCGTATGTGTGTGTGCGCGTGGGTGCGTGAGTGAGTGAGTGAGTGAGTGAGTGAGTGAGTGAGTGAGTGAGTGAGTGAGTGAGTGAGTGAGTGAGTGAGTGAGTGAGTGAGTGAGTGAGTGAGTGAGTGAGTGTGGTTTTGACTGTACACTGGAGCGTGTGTTTAGCTGTATCAAGTCACAGTATGTCACGAATTTGAGGAGCGATCGCGTTCAGGCGCACACGTACTCGAGTGTCCATCCACACACACACACACACACACACACACACACACACACACACACACACACACACACACACACACACACATGCACACACACACACACACACGCACACACACATGCACAACCCTTTTCAACACAGACAGACACGCGTACACGACCTGGGCTGACGGTGGAAGAGCAAAAGGCCCAAGGCCGCGCGGTGTCAGGCGCTTGATGTGAAAGGCGTGAGAGGTGTCATGCACGTCACCGTCGGATCTGGTCGTGTACATGTGCATGGGATGCCATGTAACGAGAGAATGAATCGAAAAGCTCGACGTTCCCCAAAAAGGCAGCGAACGTAACATGCACGCTTATCCACCCGAAATGGAGAGAAAGAGTGAAGACTTTGCACGTGGACCAGCCACCCTTCTGCCAGCTCCACACCTGTGCATGATGAGCATGTCGTTGGTCGTGATGACGAGCTGTTTTGCGCTGAGCTGGTCCTGTTCCACGTCCACCGTCAGGTTCACATGCTTTGGCAGTGGCAGCACAATCACTGGGACAGGAGCAGCAGAAAGCGACATGTTAATGAGCACGTGAATGGATGTAGTGGTATTGTTTGTAGGCGCGCATGCAGCAGGCGAACAAGTAGGCAGAAGCACACACGCACGCACATAAAATCGCACACCTTTACATGCACATCCACACACCAAACCACACACGTACGCAGACAGAGACACATAAACACCGACACACACACACATGCACAGACACACACACACAGACACACAAACACACAGACACACAGAACCAGACACACACACACACATACACACCAGAGACGATGCTGGTGAATGTGTCCTTGGATGGATCGTGCACGGCGAGGTAGAAGGCACCGACGTCGCGGCAGTGGAAGAAGCAGTAGCCGGGGTGGTGCTGCGGCCTGTATCCGCTGCTGAACTCCTCCCGCTCCAGTCGCCATCCAAGCGGTGACGGCGACACTTGCACGATGTTGTCGGCGGCCGTGTCTGCGTTTGATCGCCCTTGCCAGTCAAACACAATTCGGTCGCCTACCACATGGGTGTGTCGAGAAGAGAGCGGGTGTCGAGCGTCGGTGAGTACCAATGCAAGAAGTAACAACTTAAGGCACAGCTCAGCACACACACACACACACACACACACACACACACACACACACACGCGCGCACACGCACGCACACGCACACGCACACGCACACGCACACGCACACGCACACGTGTCTTTGCAGGATTGCAAAAGTCTGTACTGCATTGCACGTAACATCTCACCTTGGAATGCAGCGAGCCGGGTGACGCCGAGCGCGCCCTGCGCATCAACGGACACACAGTGCGCAATGGATGTGGGCCGAACCACGACGTGGCACATGTTCGCGCCTGTGGTGGTGAACGTGTAGCCCAACGGGTCACTGCAGTCACGTGCACATGCATGTCTTCGACGTGAGCAACGGGATACATCTAACACACGCACACACACACACACACATACACACACACACACACACACACGCGCGCGCGCACAGGTACACAGCTGAGGGCACACAGATGCACACAAACACCGACGTCAAGTACACCATATTGTTCAAACGGACGTGAAGGTAAGCACGCGGCTGCCCGTGTGTGTGGCGTGCTGTGGGAGCGGTTCGCTGAGGCCACGAAGCGCATGGCCTTCTTGCTGGTGACTCCATTCCCAACGCACGCTTGCACCCCGGTCCTGGACACGACAGGCACCAAGGGTAGCCAAACACACACGCACACACACACACACACACACACACACATAAATTATGAGTCGTCGCTGTTGCTGGTCACTAAGGCAAGGCTTTGGCGTTCACACATGCGTCGCATTTAGCTCACCACTTCGATGAAGGCGGGCTGCATCTCGGCGTCTGTGGCAGTGACCACGTGTTGAATTGGCGGAGTCACTTCAATACGCAGTACTCCCTGAGGCTTCTCAGACCTGCGAAGCAACGAGGGATGGTCGAGTGGTGTTGAAGAACACGTCAGCATCCAGCGTTGGGCGACCCATGCTCCACTGACACGACCACGAACGCAGAGGCACGTGCATACAGGCACTGACACACACGCACACACACGCGTAACACATTCTGCCGGCCCCATTTCCCACATACTGCGCATTCACACACACACACATGCACACACACACACACACACACACCGGTTGGTGAAGATGGCGAGCAGGCAGTCTTGGCGACGCAGAAGCCGAACAAGCATGGAACTGTCGTAGTCATCTGGATCCGCAGCAGGATCGTCGCTGCCGCTGCCGCTGCCACTGCGGCCGAGGCTGTCCTTGATGCGCGGTGGCGGGGATGTCAAGTGGACACAGAGGCCACCCGCGACATGCACGTGCTGTCCCTGGACATGGGCCACTTCGCGGATGACGCAGCCCTCGCAGCGACTCCACTTGAGCTCCACCTCCAAGCCGGCGCTGGCCACGCTCACAAACTGATCTTCAAACTGGCCGTCCCGGCAGCGGATCAGCGCAGGTTCCAGCACCGGCTCATTGTCCATGAGCACGCCACTGTTCTCGTGCATCCCGACCGGCACCACAACATCCTCGCTTTGGTCCCGCAACAGCTGCGCTGCACTCTGTCTCGGCGTTGCCGGCACCATGCGGCCGTGGTCTTGCCGCCCACCTTTGCTTGCGCCACTTCCCATGGCTGGCAAGTCAAGCGAGCTGGCGGTGTGTTCTTGCTCAATAAGAGAAACAGCGAGAGAGGCGCGTTTGTTTGCTCGTTGCTTGGCTGTATTGGGTGCTGAGGATCGACGAAAATCATCGAACAAAAGTCGACGACTGTGTGTGTGTGTGTGTTTGTGT